TTATTATTAAATTATTATTTTCACTGAATGAATTTAGAGCACACTCAAGCAAAGACAAAATGGGGTTAACTACAGCATCTCCACTTAGATTAAGAGAAAATGATTCCTCTGAAATCACTAAGTGGGCCCCATGATTGAATAAAGATTTATACCCCATTTTTCCCAGCCTAAATTCAGCTATGATATTGCTTTGTTGTGTAAAAGGACTTTCAGAAACTATAGCTTTTCTTTCTCTCCCACATAATGACAAGTTGAGCCTGCCAGAACATCTCTGGACAACATCTAAAAGGTACAGAAGCTCTGTTCTCTTTTACATCTGATCCAGCTATAGTGTTTCTGTTCTCTACCTTACAGTGGCCCATGAATTCTAGTTAAGGCTAGCAAAAAAGGCAAATAATGGCTGGTCCCTATATGCTCAGCATGAAAGCAGCTATTGTGCCATGTATGAACTGGAGAGGGGCACTATATGCACTACAGCCCAACCCATCACCCTCCACATACATTGGGCCATAGGCCCCATCTTCCTTGAGCATGCTAGCTGAGCTTAATGGGGATTGGAGTCCAAACACCTCTGGAGGGGGTCTGAGTTGGAGAAGCTGAACTATACAAATGACTGCCTCAATTACCATTTTGAAAAGTAATATATTGCAGACTAAGATTCTACCCTGCCTTCTAACTAAAATATTTCTCAATGATTTTCCACTGCTAAGATCAATCCGGAGCAAATTCTGTGAAGCACTAAAAAGAGCTTACTGCTTTGAGAAAGCATTGTGATACTTTCTTTCTTTCTCTTTCTTTTTTTCTTTCGTGCTGCTGCCGCTACATACTAATACAGCTCCTTTATCCGATACAGTTACTCCAACAAACTGCTTTGTTATCATTAGATGGTTCTAATCTGAGAATTAGGCAATAGTCACCATTTAGAATTTTAATTATCTCAATCTCAGTCCCATGTTTATCCCTCTATAAGATATTTCTGGACAGCACTCAATGTTTTTGGATTAATAAATGCAAGACTGAGTCACTGGAATAATCATGCTTTCACTATAAAATCTGGAGTATTGTTGGATTTTTTTAACTGGAATATTGTTGGATTTTTTAAAAATTATTTATTTATTTATTTTTAAAGCAGTCTTTAACTCAAGTAGAAGGGCTGGGAAAGCCTTGAAAATCAGAACAGCAATACTGGGCTAAATGGTGCAGTTGTCTGTTTCCGTTAAAAGCTACTTTTAGGAGCCTATTTGGTATAAGCTATCAACATGAATCCTATGCATTACTATGTTCTAATATTACCAGAAGAGAATGCCTCAGAGATTTCCAATTTTGGGACATTCCAGGATTACTCAAAGTAGTGGTCCAGTGACTGGGACTGGTCCATAAGCCAATGGTTGCAAGAAATTTCCAAGAAACAAAGACTTGTATTCAGTGGTCACAAACATGGCACCAATCCCTGTCACATGGGGAAAATCCCTTCTGGTCCATTGTATCACTTAGCTTAAGAAGCACTGGTGTATGCCATATGTTGCAGTCATCATGGTTCAGCTGCACAATCTGTGACTTACCAAGCTGAATATAGTTCACCATACAGACTCTCAATAGCACTAATGTTTTTGATGCTTGATTGGAAATGCAAAAGGAAAAGGAGACTCCAGTTCATAGCCGGCACTCTATATTCAGTTTAATTAGTTAGAGGTTGTGCAGGACTGTGGACATGTCCTTTTGCAAAGGTGTTGGAGTAAAAGGTGCAACAATTTCACATCCCTATGAATATTTCCAAGCTCCTGTGCTCCGATTCACTAGAGTGAAGCTGCTTAAAATTATGGCATCCATGCCATCTTCAGCCTGCCAAGGATGACAGGCTGTGAAAATCTGGCATGCTTTCCAAAGTGTGTTGCCTCATTTAAAAAACTTTTAAAGGTACTGGAACAAGAGGAGGGGAGCAGTGAGAAAAACAGGCTTCCCGGGAACCATTCCAGGACGTGGGCCTTGCAGAACCTTCCCATAGACCTTGCAAAAATCTATCTCCAGCTGCCTGCTGGAAAGACTATCAATCCTATGCTTATATAAACACTTATCTTATCCAAGTAAACAATTCCCCCATGAAACGAACAACTGCCACTGAAATACTCTGTCATTTCTAAAGATGCTGGTTTCACACAACTTGCCACTCAGTTGCCTTCTGGTCCCCCTCTCCCCATTTTTAAGAAGCATCGTATTCAGGACCAATGCAAACTGATTTTTGGATATATGGGGAATCACACTTTTTGCCTTTTTGCTCCCATCAATCCTAGAGGCAGTTGCAACTGAAATATGAAACCACCATACTATCTGCTAGACATGACTTGAATGTCTGCACACCTTTTCTCCCTCATTATAACACTGTGACCATGTAGGTTTCAGGAGACCATTCAGCATTTTTTCTCCTTTTTTTCTTCATTTATTCTTCATCTATATGCTGCCTGGCTCCCAAACTGGGAACCAAGGTGGCTTCCAAAAACAAAATAAAAATCGCCATATTAAACACTATAAAATCATTTAAATGGCATACAAAATTTTAAAATAAATAAACTCACAAATAAAGACTGTCCCTGCTTAACCATTAAAAGGTTTCTTAAACAAAACTGTCTTTGTTGCTAGTAAAAGGAAAGTAGTGAGGATATCAGCCTAGCTTTCCACAGGACAATGGAGATGATCAGATGAGCAAAAGTGATGGGAGAGAAGCGGGATGCTCCTGTCACTATTGCATGATTGAAGGAAGATTACTGCAGAACGGAATGGCCTCGTCACTTTTTATTAACGGCAGTTTCCTGTTAATATAAAGTGACAATGCAATTCTACTTCATTGATGGGAGAAGGATGGGATTAGCATGACATGACATAATGTCATCTGATAATCTTTGCAGCAATCGCATGATAGTAATGGGGGCTTCTCTCCCGTCACTTATTATCCCGTATGATAATCTCCAGAGTTCCAGAGGGTAGAAGCAGCCACCTAGGATGCATCTACACTGCAGAAATAATCTACACTGACACTACTTTAACTGCCATGGCCCCATGCTGTGGAATCCTGGGAACTGTAGTTTGTTGTGGCACCACAACTCAGAGAAGGCTAAATGTCTCACAAAACTACAAATCCCAGAATTCCCATCCTTGAGCAATGGCAGTTCAAGTGGTGTCAACCAGGATTATTTCTGCAGTGCTGATGCAACCCAAGAAGGCTCTCTCTCATGTCCTCTCTAAACGAGCCTGTGATGGTTGTGGCACCAAGAAAAAGCCTGATTAAGAGATCAGGAAATCTCAAAAGTTTGTATATTTTTGTGGACTCATGTAAGCTCATGCAATAATGGTGTTGCATACAGATTTTTGGAATTTTTCTCTTTGTTTTGAGAAGGAATAAACCATTTCATGTTCACCAAATGCAGTTGTATAATGGCTATTGACAATTTGTGAGCCAGAAATTTTTGGTTCAAGTCTTAACTAAACCACCAATTCTTGCCTAGCTTAGAATCAGGTGAAAATTATGAAGCCCCAACTCTTTGATTTTATGATGCTATATTGCTGGACTGCAACTCCCATAAACTCAGCCAGCATAGTCCATGGTGAAGAATGCTAAGAGTTGCAATCTAACAACATCTGGAGAACTCCATGATTCCCATCCCTAGCTTAGAAACCCACACTCTTTGTTAGTGGTAAACTGATAGGACATACTAATTAGCATATTGTTAACTCCCTCAAACCCTTGGAAGACAGTAAGCTGGAAGTAAAATAAAAACATTGGACCATAGCCTTCGTCAGCTACTTTGTTAAGTATGGGCCTTTACAGACTGCCAGAAATAATGCAGCCTGAGTCCACTTTAACTGCCCTGGTTCAGTGCTAGGGAATCATGAGAACTGTAGTTTTTTTCTGAGACACTGAGCCTTCTCTGTCAGAGAGCTCTGGTGCCACAATAAACTACAGTTCCCATGATTCCCTAGCACTGAGCCAGGGCAGTTAAAGTGGACTCAGGCTGTATTATTTTTGGCAGTCTGTAAAGGCCCTAAATTAGGTAAACTAGGGCCCAAAACACACTGCGGAAATAATCCAGTTAGAGACCACTTTAACTGCCATCATTCAATGCTAGGGAATTCTGGGAACTATAGTTTTGTGAGTCATTTAGTCTTCTTTGTCAGAGGGCTCTGGTGCCACACTAAGCTACAATTCTCAGGATTCCCTAGCACTGAACCAGGGCAGTTAAAATAGTCTCAAACTGGATTATTTATGCAGCGTGTTTTGGAATTAAGAGCCAAAACAGACTGGCTGTAAAAGCCGGCTTCCAGGCAGCTTGAAGGTGTGGCGTTTTGAAGCCGCAAGCCCCCAAGACACCAGGAAGCCGCTCAGACAATCAGACGAGGGCAGTTTCAAGACATTCCAAGGCTACACACCCCTGGAACTGATTGAAGTTGCTCTGGGGTTGCGTCAGGACCACATAAGGTAGCCCTTTACCAGCCCAGAACAGATCTTTTCCACTTCTATTTGGGCTGACGGCAGGGCAGATTGGGGCCATGGTGTGTGCTTGTTGTGGCTCCAGGGCGAGCAGCTCCGGGGCAGCCCCAATCCACCCTCTTGAGGCCGCCTGTTTGGCCCCTAAGTTGCTGTTGTTGTTTCAAGTTGTTTCTGACCTATGGCGACCCTAAGGCGAATTTATCATGGGGTTTTCTTAGCACGATTTGTTCAGAAGAGGTTTGTCATTGCTTTCCTTTGAGACTGAAAGCATATGACTTGTCCAAGATCACCCAATGGATTTCATGGCCAAGTGGGGATTCAAACCCTGGCCTCCAGAATCGTAGTCCAACACTCAAAACCACTACACCACTATGGCCCAACTATTCCCCTCTGACGGAAATATCATTCACCAGTGCTCCCATTGTTGGCACAATGGACCTTCTCCCCATGCAACTGATGCTTGGTAAAGAAGGCTGGGGGAGGGAGTTAGGATCATGGCAGTAGTGGTAAAGAAGGCTGGGGGAGGGAGTTAGGATCATGGCAGTAGTTGCCACAATCATAATCTCAACACCACCACCTACTTTACTGGATATGACTTGCAGGGAGAGGAGGAGGTCCATTCCACCAGTAGTTACTTAACTAGGAATGCATCCACACTGCAGAAATAATCCAGTTTTACCCCACTTTAACTGCCATGGCTCAATGCTATGGAATTTTGAAAATTGTAGTTTTGGGAGACTTTTAGCCTTCTCTGACAAAGAACTCTAACTCCCAGTATTCCATTGCACTGAGCCATGGCAGTTAAAGTGGTGTCAAACTGGATTACTTC